TCTCCACGAGGAAGCATTCGAGCTTCGCGTACACAGAGTTCGACGTTGCATTCCAGAATCTCCAAGCTTCATTTTAATAATAAATCCTTTGATCTACGTAAAATGGATTTCTTTTCAAAGAAAAAGATGTTGAAAAAGATAATCGTCGAACTTTGTGTAAGAAATCAAAAATAAGGAATTTTCTGCAGATTAAACTTCTTCGATTAAATAACAAGAGTTTATCGCCTTTCGAATTCAAGTAAACTTTACTTTTTCGCGAGATTCTTTTCAAGTTATTTAATGTTAAATATTAAATAGCTATAGAAAAAGAAATAAAGTAAGGTATAAGATAGTGAACCCCAAATAAGACTGATCGGGCAATCGAATCGAAAATGTTTCCCAAGTTTGATGATGGTATTAATAATCTGAACGATATAATATCGCCGTTGTTAAGTTTGACAAGATGATATGTTGGTATTGCGCGTCGCCGCTGGCCGATATAGGCGAATTATTAATTCTCTGATAGAATTTGAATATACCCATTTGCATTAGTCAAGCAGTTACAGCGGCATTCAGTGCAATTGTCATGACATTTTCAATTATTCCGTTGCCGGCCGGTGTCGGACGGTCCGCGACAAACTTTGCCCATATCGTACGGCGCCAGTTACGTCCACCTGCTTGACGGATTACACGGATTACATACGTCCCCTGCGAACTTCGACGATGGCATTCGACGTCGCCGCGACGAGAAACGTGGAAGATACATTTTATATCTTAGCGTGTTTGGTGGGCATATTAAAAAATTAAATGTTGCTATTTTTAATAACCTATTAAATATTTTTAAAAATGTTATTATCGTTGAAAAAATAAATATTTAATATAAAAATTAAACCGCAAGAATGGATATGGCGTATTGTGTACTGTGGCAAAAATATTCATCTCCTTATTTCTCCTAAATTTCGCTTCTTTTGAGTGAAAAACTTGCAAACTTGAAACAGCTGTAGCTTCCGTAATCAAAACGCTCCATGTTTATGCGTGTAACTTATCGCGTTGCTGTTTTATGAGAGTTACGTGTCTCGCAAAATTCAATTACAGGCACATTGAACTCCAATGTGTGTGGACGTATCATCGATAAATTCAGAAAATTTTTTATGTAAACAAAATTTATTCAATCCTGCATAAAATTTTTAATAAAAGTCAGCTACGCATTTCTACCAAAGCATCAATCATTGAAATATTATTTGAGAGAGTTACTTGGAAATAATTTATTAATCCTTGTGTGTTCCTAATATTTATAAATATTTTTATAATATTTTGTGCAAATGTATGGTAAATAAATTATAAATATAGAAAAAATCTTAAATACTTTAAATTAAAAATATATTTTTCAATGACAAATAATAATTGTATAGGATAATGTGATTGCTAGAAAAGAGTGAATCGAATGACGAGACAATGTATCTTTTCTAGCGACGCGACGGTTCAGATATTTGACTTCGATCCAGCTTATTGCATTTCAATAGGTATATCCGCATAGAAATCGATGCGGCAACCAGCGAATCGCTGATAACGTCGCGAACAGTGACATACACTCGAGACTCGCGGGATCCGCCATGAAGACGAGGATCCTGAAGGTGGGCTGTCGACGCGATATTGAAAATGGAAGCTGGCACTCTCTCCCGCGTGTCATCAGCGTCATCGGTCGCCGATGAAGATGGAGCGGATCGAAGCGATGTCCCTTTTTACGAGACCTGAGAAGAACCTCCTCACCGAAGCCGAAAACTGATATAAAAGATTTTTGCAAACTCAAGGAGCTAGTAAATCTTGCCGGGAAACGAAAATCGATCATTTACAAGGATACGCGTAGTTGCGATTTCGTGATTGAAAAGTTTCGAAAGATATTTAAGAACAGGCTTGATTTATATACCACATTATTTAGGAAAAAAGTTATAAATATGGATATTTGCTTTTTTCTACTTATATAAGTAAAGAAAATGTGTGTTATATATTTTACATGTTACTGCAAAAGCGAAATTTATATAATCTAAATGACATTTAAATATTGATGGCATTTTTTACATCAAACGACGGATACCCGAGAAGAAATTAGATTTATCTAGTTTCTTTTTCAATAAATTTATGACAAAATAATCTGAAGCTTCTCCCTCAGTTAAAATATAGATATCACGCATTTCTGATATATATATATATATATATATATATATATATATATATATATTTTATACATTTTAGAATAAGAATAATCAATATATGTGTAATTTAAAAATAAAAGAAAATATTGGCAAATATATTCAATTTTCTATTTTAGTCATAAAATAATATTATCGAATCGTAAAATAATATTAATCTTTTAATTTTATTTCGATTCGAAGTCTGGTGAATATAATGTAACAATTTTTGTACTTTATTTTTAAAAATAAATTTAATATATCAAGAGTATATTGGGATTAAGAAAGAAACTGCAAAATAATGTCTTTAGATATGCACATGGAAAAAAACGAATGAAAATATCGCAACTACACAGATCGTACCATTAGGCGAATGCGTTAATGCTCGCATTTGTAATTATTATGTTAACACGTAATCGAGTTTGCTAACATGCGACGCTGTCGCGTCTGCCGTAGTTTTGTGGCATGTATTCATGTTTTCAGTACGATGTCGTTGATTAGCGTTTTCATATGCAAAAAATGTAGGTAATAAAGTAAATCGGGAAAAACTGCAAAATGTAACGATGTCGCGCCGAGCTTCTCGTCGAAATATAGATATAGAAAAATGTTGGTCGCATTATTTTCCTCCAGTGTGTTAAAGAAAGAAAAAAAAAATATATATATTTATATAAAGATATATTTTTACACACAAATATATATATCGTCGTGCGACATAAAACTTACAGACAGAGCCGAAACGCACTCCGCATAAAAATCCCGTAAATTCCCTCGATTCAAAGAAATACTATAATACCGTTTCATACGATTTTGCCCTCGAAGGACGGAACAAAGTATCGGAAGTGAAATAAAGAAAAGGGCGGAGCAATAATAAGACCGCCGGTAAAATAAAAAAAAAAAAAGAAGTACCGCGCCGAAATTAATTACTGTCTCGTCTAATCCCTTCAAGCGGCTCCTCCTCTTTAATTCCCGACGAACAAAAGAGTCGGCGCTATAATACTCACGGAGTTTTTGCCCGTATATACACTATTATATAATCAACTTAAAAAAGACTCGGTCGAAGAAATTTTGCGATTTCTATCTATAATTCTTTCCCTTTAGAAACTAGCAGCAATGTCTTGTCGAGAACAACGGGTTCGGAGGAAAAGGCGCTCGTGGAAAACAATTGTTTGAATAATTTAAAAAAATAAAAGCGCAAACATACACACATAAGGAATAAAATCTTTCAATGCCCATTAAGTAACGTATAATTAATCAAAGTTTCTGAAAAAAGCGAGCAATATGATGCGCTATTTAAGAAGAGTTGCCGAAAATCGTTAGCTGACGAATCCGTAACGTTTTCCATCGGCCCGAAAATCCCGAGGCTCGGTTACTTATTGCGGCTGCGGTTGCAACCCGCTGCAGAGACGGAGGGACGAAGAAGGGGTGGATGGCGTGCCCGAGTAAATCACGGTGGATTTAAGTGGATTCTACAAACTCCCTCGCGCCGAGTCTACCCCCGACGATGTATCGTCCTCGTAGAGTCGTTGCGGCACCGCGCTACACCGCAGCGCGGATATAACCGGGGCTAAGAGATTCAGAGCGGGCGAGAACGCGCGGCCGGGCCGGCGTCCTCTCGCCGTGCGAGCGAGGCAACATCCGTTGCGTCTTACGGCCGCGGCTTACAACGGAACTTGGTCGACTCGGGCAAAGCACGGACGCAGGGCGGCGAATTATTCGCCTAGGGCCTAGGGCCTGGCGCATAAAAGGGCCTCGAAATAAATTGCATAGGATTTACAACGTAACACGTAGAATGCGCTTTTAAAGCGAGGCCGGCGTGCTTGAATATGAAAAGCAAGCTAACTAAAAACGATTCGATGCAATTCTGATATTACAAGTCTTGAGTCTAATAACATTTTTAAGAAATAAATTTAAATCGATATGAGATTTATATTCATTGAACATTATGTGTATCTTAATTTAGAGAGTTTCTAATTTTTTAAATAGTGTTGAAAATTATTATTTTATTCACCATTACTTTTCGCTTTCGTTTGAGAAACGTAGATGATGAAAATGTTCGATGATTCACACAAACATTCTACGGAACATCACATATGGTACTGTTTCTTTCTCTCTGTTGTGTCGAAGTACATCTTTATATTTACATCGTATTCCGCGACAAAAATTCGAGCATTATTTCTGCTCCGATGTAACACACGGTTTAGTATACTCGTTGTTCTCAGAACAAACAATATCGCAGAAAGGAAAATTGTTGTACGACATTGGGAGAATTTCCGTGGCTTGCTCATGAAAGTCATGCGGTTGAAGACTGTGCGATCGCTCTTTCGATTCATTCTTTTTCCCCGACTCTTCAATCTCGTCCTTTCTGTCGTTATGACAGTGTGACGTGGTTCCCGCTGTCACGACGATCAATTTTACTTTTTTTTCCAGCTTCTCGGTTTCTTCATCAAATTATGAGAACCGTGAATCTCCCGGAAATATCGTGCTAACTTTGCAAGCGGATCGAGAAGAATAAACGCAATTAAAAATTTTTTGTTTGATACGATTGAAAAAATAGCATTCTCCTACTTTTTCAGATATTTCATCTAACTTCTCAAAATTTGTATAATTGATCTATGTATTGTAAGCACACGTTAAAAAATGAAAATGTGTGTGAAAATTATTATTATTTCTTGTAAAGTTAAAGCTTGAATTTTTTGTGTGACATCTCTACATTCCTATATTTGATGTTGCATTTGACGTTGTTGCATCTCAAATAACTTTCTGATAAATTCTGATAAATCGATTATGAAAATTTCAATGCGCAAATATGAAGAGAAAAAGAGACTCACTCACATAAGCAAAATTGCAGGACCGCGGCAAAGAGGGCTGCGAGTTTCCGCGCTGCCATGAGCGTCGATCAGTTTTCTGATGAATCTTTGGGACACCAGTCGGCGATCTGAAAGCATATGAAAAATATTTTTCAGCAAAGATAGAAATTCAACACAATCATGTATCAAAAAATGTATCCATAAAATATATAAATTATTATTTATATTTATTAATAAATTAAAGAAAACTGAATAGCTGCCTTCATATATTTCAATACGCGTATATTTCTATGTTTGTAAAGTAAATGTTATAAATAAATACCACATTATCGGGAAAGGCAACAATCATCATCGCAACATTTCTCTTAATTGCATTTTGCTGCAACAGAAAGAGCCAATCTCATTTAATTGACTTTGTACTTTGCGCAAATTGATCATGATTGTACGGTGATGAGTATGCTAGTTTGGCGATCGTGGGAAACTGACTCAGCGATTCGCTCAGTTTCTACAGCGAGAAATTTATTTTCCGCTATAATTCGCGTCGCTCTCTTTCCACTTTCTACATTACTGTTTTCTTAATAAAAGAGAGAAAAAGAACACGTCAATTTTAATTATCGTTCGTCTTAACTCTTTCGATACCCTTAACGTAGCAGAAATGAAAGGATTTGTGAAAAAAAACGAGATGGAAGTAAAGAAAAAGAGAGATATAGAGATAAAGTGAGAGAGATCGAAACTAGCTTCGAAGCAAACTAACCGCAACGCCAGTGGCTCGCCGATTGTAATTAATGATCATCTCGTGATAGGTTATATCCTATCACCAATTACGCCTAGAGAGAAGCGTCCCTTGTTATTTCGATGCCGTGAAAATTGCGAAGGTATCGCGTACGAGCGCATATAAACCATGAAGCATAAGGACCTATCAGCGAGAAGTATGTCTATTGCTCGATTCTTTGAAATTTCCGACTCAAAAGAAATAAAGGGATGAAAAAAAGTTATCGTATCGAGGAGATTCTCTAAAATAAAAAAGGGGACAGATATAAGGATCTACTCTTTTAAATTGAATTAATGAAAATGTCACTCAATCAAATGTCACAAAGCAGTGACAAGATGATTACTTTCAAGAAGATTTCTGTTTGCATGATATTTATATTTAATGATATTTATATTTATAAGTGAAATCGTTGCTTATTAATGATAATATAATGATTCTATTTAAGAAAGTATGAAAAAAATGTAATTAGAAAATGTGAAAGTACGTTAAGTAATATAAATTGGTTACAAGCGTTTTAAATAGAGGTAACAGAGATAAAATGTTTTAAGGAAAATAGAGATGAAATGTTTAAAGAAAAATGTCTGTCTTTTATCAGTAACAAAATTCCCCAAAAATAAACATAACAAGTTTTCAGAAAGACAGAGATTGCCTCTGCAATATAATCTGCACTTAATCTTCGTTTTTCTTCAAAAAAGATTTTCGCAAGAAACAAAGCTGTATTTTCTAAGGTAGATGTCGAATGATGTTAGTACAATCCGCAGTTTCTCTTATCAGATTACTGCTTGTTTAAACTTTTCAAACACTGCGTTGGAAAAGTAAACGCCACGTCGAATAACTTCAATGTCATGTCTTAAACTTTTCCAATTTTGTAACAAAGATCTGTTTAATATATGCATTCAAAAATTGCACATAATAAAAATTAGAATATATAATAGAAATATTAAAAAATAACGAAAATTAAAAGAAAATAAATCCTGTCTCCTCTCTGCAAATATTTAATATTAATGCACTTGCTAAAATCAATTATAAAATTATAAATTATATATATATATATATAATTTATATATTTTTGTTTTTATTTATTTATATACTTTACGGGTAATATAAATCTTTCCCTGAATATTAATTTTGATAGAGAAGCGAAAATTTTTCGCATATCTTCTTTTTCGCGGAATTTTTGCCCTTACACCAAATAACGTAACTTTCTTTCCGAAACAATAGTAGAGTTTTTTTCTCATCAACGGACATCCGACTCATTCCGCGATGTCGATAAAATTGTGAATGAGGAATTTTTATTCTCTCGCATGTCACATGATGAAAGAAAGTGTCGACGCAGCCATCGATCCTACACGGACCGCACCTGCTCCCAACTCTGCAAATCAATCTATGATCTACTATAGCTTTCTGCAACTTCTACGTTGCACTAATCGCGCAATCAGAACGAGGCAAAAACAATTGTGTCAATTTTCATCTTGGTCGCACAAGCATAGCTTTCAGATAATCACTATTAATCTAGGTAATAATTAATTAAGACCAGAATAAGTATCTCCACATTTTCTTTATCAGTTTTTTAATTTATAAACTAAAAATTCAAGTATATATCAGAGAGATAGTTTTAAATCAACTAGAGAAATCTTTTATAATTCTCTTATAATAAAAAAAAACCTTATTGAATGTAGAAAAAAATATAAAAAATATATATTACATATTAAATTATATTGATTATATGTATATATTATATAAATAATTATATATATTATATTAAATTATATTTTATATGTTTTTATTAAATTATATTATACATTATATTTTTAATATATTGAAATATATAAAATTTTAGAAGAAGTGACATGCCAGTATATGTTGTACGTGTCAGTCAATTATATGAGCTTGACATTCCAAGATTGACAAGAAAAGGCTCAATTTTTAGTAGGCCTTTAAAATTCTATTGTGCGTCCTACACACGCGAGCGAAATCCCCTGTCGGTGTCGAGTTTGCATGAAAACGCAATGCGCCCGCCGCTTCATCCCCTAAACGAACATCGTTCTCCCGCGGCCAATCCAAGCCGCCGCGCACATCCATCTCGACAACGTCATCCCGCCATCGGCCTGCGATGCCCATAAAGCATCAAAACGACGCTTTGTTGCGGCAGCTTTATGGCATAACAGCCGATGGGTGGCGGTGGCGGTTGCGACGATCGATTCGCTATTTGTCAGCAGCCATCTCGGAAGACAATCCAACCCTCGACTGGTGCATCGAAGGAAGAAAGTTACGTCGAAGAAAAATGAAAGATGGAAGAAGGGGATGATTATGGGGCACAGTCGGAAAGGCGCGATTGATTTATTGCAAAAAGAGACCGCGGTAAGTGGACTATTTTTCAATGAATCGATGAAGAACGAGAGAGAAAGAGAGAAGGAGAGATCTGATGGAAAAATGGAATTTTCTCGTAGGAAAATGGAATTTTGAGCGCACCAAGGACCTCTGCGAGGAGTGTCAGCCGTCATACGTGCCACAGTTACCCTTCGGTGATTTTGCGAGTGTTTCGATACCTCTCGCAGCGATGGTTACCGGGCGTGCGTGGGGTGGAAAACGAGAGGTATGGGACGTACCGTAAGTTATGACTTTCGTCTCGCTCCCGCCATCGCTGCCGCACCGACGGCTCTATGAATGTATGCATGAGATACGAACTTTATGCTTTATGCATTGAACGCGCCGATGATAAGAAGTCGCACGCGTACGCTCGACGCGACGCCGCGTTTCCCGCTGACGAGTGAAGCTGCATCAAGCGAAGAGGAAAGAGGGAGAGGCGCGAGTCCTCTCGCAGAATCCGGACAGATACGTTCCATTAGTTAATCACGCCCGATTCGATTTGCGTGCGAAATCGTGCCGGAAATCACTCGAGCATAAAAAACAAGAACTGTGCATGAAACATCGTCGGCGGGAAAAAATATGCGAAAGAAAAGTATGAAAGAAGAATATCGCACTTTTAAAACATTGCTCATATATCCGCGAATCGATCGCGATTGCCTCCGAAAACCAATTCCTTGGCACAATCACGAATGGATGATCGACTGCAAATAAAGGATCGGAGACAGCGTTTAATAGAGACATGAACGCCGCATGCCAAAGGTATACAATAGCGCTGCCATTATGGATCCGTGTCTTATCACATATCTTCGTATGTATATCGTACACTCTTCCGTGTGATGTTCAAAAAGTCACGGATAATATTCTAATATTCTCTCAAATATTATCTAAATTGTGTAAATATGAAATATGAAATTTTATGTAAATAATTTTCTATATTATCTAATTTTTTTCTAAGTATATAATTATGTCCGTCTTACGTATACGTATTGAATTTCTTTACCTAGCCTTTCAGAAATCATCATAAAAAAATTCGCGTGATCGTTTTACCTCATCTTGAAGCTATTAAAATAACTGATTAAATTTTTCAATATTGTTTAATCATACGGTTTTCTAGCTGCCTGAGTATTCGACATAATGTCATTCCAAACAGCTGATTCTATATACTTCGTATCAAAATAAGTATCTATCGATAGCATGCAAATAGGCGAGGCGCTTAGTCGCATTCGCATCTAATATCGTTTGCATGCTATCGAGAAACGATACACAGACGCGACTCGAAAACAACATCGCTTTTAATCGTAAGCTATAAAGCCCGTAAGCTTCGGCGCGTATTCGCGGGAGGATGAAGAGGAACAGAGGCGCGAGATGGAAGTTTCGCCCTGCGGCACGTTTATAGACAAGAACGCGCACGATCGGACGATTATTCTCTACACGAGACGCCCTGCGGCGGTAATAACTGTCTCCGCTCGAAATGAAGAGACAGTTAATCTAATCTTTGCAGTAACGACAGCCCGGGCACTGGGATTTATTCGTTCGATATAACGACGTAAACCGTACAAATTGGCGACCGGCGCATGCCGCTTTAATTGCTTTTCGCGCCTCTCTACACAGGTGAAATAAATCCTTGAACATTAATTTGATTGTTAAGTGTTGCACATAGACACCTGCGCTCCGAGTGTCCGTTCGCAATATATTCTTAGCCTTTTGACTACTCGCGTTTGGTTCTGCCAGACCCAGCTTCATCGATGATATAAACACATTTTGGATTTTTACGTAGCTTTAAATATTATCGTATAAAATTCGTACAATCGTTTTAAAATTATTGGATATATTTTCTCTGCTGTATCTTTGCTGCACAAAGACGAATAATTAAATATATTTCATTAACCCTTTCGTACCTCCGGCTTTTCCAAAAGAAATGTGTTTCATATGAAGATAGTTTTACAGGTTTTTAGGGGTGCTGATTTCCAAATTTATCATGAAAAT